ATTAAAAACGTACAACTTAACGTCCAAGTATCTGCTTTTCCTAGCGTTTTCGTCAATTGGACCTAAAAGAATTAATCGAAATTTTTACAATGTTGATCAAAGGACTAATTTCGGTGTCTAATACGTATGTTAACATGTGAAGATATTCCTAAGAGAGCCAATTCTCTCCATCGAGCGAAGCGGATAACATCCATTTGCGCCATTTGCATTAATTTCCACATGGAACTGACTGCTGCAAGCATTTTTTTAAAATTTATTTTCATAATAAGGTTTCGTTCATAACGACAGGTCGATTTGGGAAGCTTAATCCACTGCTTGGAGCTAGCGATCAACTTAAAACTTGTGTCATACGCGCGTGGTAGAAACAGAAAACCGTTACCTTGAAGAAGGTACGGAATTTGTTCATTTTTCATGTTCTTGACCTGGACTGCATTGTTGACTAACTTCACTTTTGGAAAAGGTGAGTCGCAGACGGCGAATCATTTTTTTATCCTTCGACTCACTTATGAGTACAACTTCATTTATATATCTCTCCTATTCTATTTTACTGGTACAAAAAGAATTAAAGTTACAACAACTAGCAAAGACTAAGTCAAAATCCGACGTTCAACATCTACCCATGATTGGAACTCATTTTTGAAAAATTAAAGGATATTTAACGAAAGTTTTTTTAGCGTTTCTTATTCAGAAAATTGGATATTAGATGCAAAACGACTAAAAACTTCGGCAAATACGAATTACTTCATTTAAAATAGTTACATTCCCATCTCTCCTCTCTCAATAACATTTAAGCATGACACTATGTTATGTTCAATTTTCCCGCGTTTTACTAGGCGGAAATTTGATCTTTCTGCATCGTACGGAAGCACATTTTAACCGCTCTCAATCATATCTGAAAAATTATTTTTAAAAGAGAACAGTACTGACATATGGTAAAGAATAGTTACAATTTTTTGTTGTATATTCGTCCATAAACAGCTTATCTATCAAAAGTTAAAATCGTGTATTGTGCAAGTCTAAGAGAAAGTTATTAGCACAAACATGTTCAATGATTAGTTTAAAGGTGTAGATCGCAACGGCTTACATTCTTTTTCGTTTATTGTTCTTGTGCAGGAGTGCTAATTGTAGTAAAATTTTGTGTGCGCTTTCTTTGTGTCATTGTGTAACGTTGCGTAATGTAGCGCGTATTTAACCGTATTGTTCATCGTAGTTTGGGGCAGTTTGGCAGTGTAGTTTCGTCGAGTGTGGTTTGGTATATTTGTTCTTTTCGCTTCATACTGTTTGTTCGCCACTAGGCAGGATCTTTAACATCGCAACAAATGTAAGTTTTGTATCATGTAGTTTTCTTCGTTGTTCTCGTTGTAGCTTTCCTTGTGTATTTAGTCTAGTTTATATTGTAATAGTTTTCGTTCGCTGTTTTATTTGCAGTTTTAACCGTACCGTGTACCGTTCGCGTTTAAAATTGTTAGAATTAGTTACTATAAATCGTCAGTGGCAGTTACAAAAGGTACTCACCTCAATAGCAGGTGGCATCTGTCGACCGTTAAATTGCCGATTATTTCGATATTTCTGGTTTGGGAAATACAGAGTTTGACATTTTTAATCTAAGTTTACTATTTCCTGGAAAAAGTCGAATTGTCCAATGTATACTGAATTTATTCATACATCACCCCATGTATTTTTTTTTTTTTGCCAGATAAAGATGGCACTCAAAAATTAGCATAAATTTCCTATGATAATCAGTCTAAATAACCAAAGGCGATCGTGTAAACTAGGAAAAATCTGAATTTTCAAGGACCTGTATAATGAAGAAAGAGAAAAAAGGTTTATTAAGAAGAATAAATTTTTTCCTTAAAAAATAGAAAAGGAACTTGAGAAAAATTTGCGTATAGCTTTTATTAATGGCTTTTGTTATCTTCCTAAAATAATACGACAAGTGATGTTCGAAAAATTTTTGTTCTTGTTTCAACTTCTTTTTTTTTACCGTTTTTGGAGGGAGAGGGCTGGAATTTATCTAGGGCCTTTTATACAAAAAGTTAGAGAGGACATCAACAAAAACAATTAAAAAATTTACTCAAATTTGTCTTGTCCCAATTTTTATGTGTTAACAAATCATGAGGAAATATCTGAGCGCCGAATTGAGACATATAAAATTATCCTAAATTCCTGAATAAAATGAAGGCGGTATATTGGATGTCTAAAAAATGAAATAGAGGCAATGCCAAGGCACGAATAACATATATTGGATGTCTTACCACCTTTATGTACTACGAGCCTGCTGCTTAATGTTCCTACATGATTTTAAAAACCTAAATGCTGTAATGTTTCCGTGATGGCTAAAAGGTTCCAAGGATTCTGTTATCGATTATAAAACGACGATGTAATGCCACTTTCTGAGTGGCCTTGAGTTGTTTTCCTTCATCGGAAGCAGTATTGCTATGGCTGTCAGCGTTTAACTTCCCCAACTGATTATTTCATGAATGCTTAAGTAAAAACCAGGCAAATCATAATTTACCCTTCGTTAAGTGTAAGATGAAAAGTTCAGGATGAAGACTATAACACACGATGCTTCGCAAAGGAAATCTTACAAGTTTCACCACAATATTATGTATTTCTAGTCTTGCATTTCCTTGATTGTTAATTCCATATTATACATATGCACGTACTTACTTCGTTTCAAGGCGCCAATTAAACACATTTAACGAAAGATGAGTCGTAATCGATAGAAAATAAGTCCACAGGAGCTTTACTCGAACAGTTTGGTCTCTACGTAATTGCAAAAAATAGCACGATTTAATTTATCGCCTGCCTAAATAAAGTACTCTCTACGTCGTTGAAAACGCAAATGAGACCAGTCGACAGTTAAAAGACTGATAACAATTCGAATGGTAAACAGGGCCTTAGAGCGACGCTGAATAAGTTCCCTGAAAAATGCAAGCCTCTTTAACTTAGGCAAAACCCCATCTCTTGAAGCTTTTTTTGAAACAATTTCACTCTTCTTTACTGGAACTTTTCTTGAATTTATGTTCAGTTCTTCGCCTCAGATACAAAACAAATAGGTAACGACTGTTGAAAAAAGTTCGTCCATGCACAAGTTCTAAAGATTGTTTGACAGTTTTCAAATTAAACCATCCGTGCATTAAGACTAATACAATTGCATATCTAAACAATAGAGACTTAATGACTAGAAATGTGAATCACAAAATTTTTCCGACGTTTTATTTCTTTAATAATAATGAAGTTCGAAATTACTGAGCTGTTTTTCAGCGGCATATCACACCTAATGAGAACTTAAACAATTTCAAGTGTAACTTGAATTCAAAATTCGAGCAACTTCCGCCGAAGAATTAGACAAGCTGGAAAATATAGGAGATAATTTATTAATGAAGTCATTTGGTGTCTTATAGAAAGACATAAACAGCTTCTGGTATCTGTCTTGTCTGTCATCTTGAACAAAACATTTACTATGTTAAATAATGGGGGAAAATGTATTGTTTATTCTAGTAAAAGTGCGCCTAAAATATGTTTTAAAACTCCTACAGAGTGCGTGAAGCCGGCTAAATTTTTCATCGTGCACAAATTGTCGGGATGATTTTATCATAAGGACGGAAAACGTTGTGCTTTTTGTCTAACTTGTGGTGACAAAGCCGTAGGAAGAGAAATGAACGATTTTACAAGAATAGCAACTTTTCAAATAATTTCGAGCCATTATTACGTGTTGATTTAACATTGCGTGAGACAAGACAGACGACAATTCAATAAATAATGTTTTGCTGCAAAATTACAACGATGACAAAAGCCTAACAAAAAGCTTCCACGCGTTAAGCAGTAACGAAAATAATGCAGCACTGAAGAAGAATAATTTACTACAGATGGCATCCAATTTATGGCGAAACATTACTGCTCTGAAAGTAGAAATTTCCCGCCTATAGTTGTCTGTTTTTTATGTCGTTAACAGAAATAAAGCAGGCAAACCTTAATTTATAAATGACATGACATATATTCTTCCATGTCATTGGTTTGTTGAGGAACTTAGTTGCTGAAGAGTAACTTTCAAATTACAAACCAAACCTGATTGGTTGACACAGTAACTTATTTGCCAAAGAACTCATTAAAAGGTTCATTCATGAACTAAGATACCTAAAATATCAAGTACATTTTAAAATGGAGATTTGTTCAAAGTAATTTTGATCCCAGCTGAGTACAGGTTGCCACTCAGTTCTGCTCCTTTATAGGCCAAGGAACAGGAAGATTCACCAGTATTAATCACAGTTGTCTCAGGTAAAAATTGTGTTCATTATCATTTTCGGTATATTCCTTGAACAGTTTTTTTTTTCTTTAAGAGTTTGCAACGCACAATGCCACGAAGACGTGTTTTTAGGTCCATTACTTGTCAGGTGTTATAGAAGGTAACTTAACCAGATTTCCTGCATAAAGGTTTTCTTCCATAGTGGTTTTGAGGACGGTTTTAAGAAACTAGCGCAATAACGGCATGGATCGAACATCTCTTTGCCGGTTTTCCCAAAATTTTGCTTTCTTTTTTCAAGGGTGGTGAAACTCTGAATTTCAATTTCAGCTGTTCGTCAATTCTTTGAACCTGTATGTTGCTAGCGAGGGTATATTCGTGTTTGGATTAGTGGCTGCAATAAAGCCTTACACAGAAGTCAGCCTGCTAAAATTTTCTGAGTGCCTACTAGCCACGCGGACTTTACAATTAAAGACGCCCTAATATCTAATCGATGTGGTAAAACCCGTCAGCTTTACTTCTCTAAATTTCACAGTGTTGATCTTCAAGGTGTTTGTGAACTCATGAGCTGTTTTATCTCCTGAATAATTTAAGTTCCATTTAGGTCGGTTGACGGAATGTTTTCAGCAACAAGCCATTAGCAAATTTACATTTAAAATCAATGGACATTTTTGCGAAATATTTCATCGCCTTTTTTTGTTTGTTTGTTTCTGATATTTAGGGATACTGCTGTAACTCAAGATAACAAGATATGATGAGAAGTCTTTTCCCATTGCTCGTTCTGCAGATGTGGAATGTGACAGTTGGCGGCGATGCTACCGCACAGGGTAACCGCACAATTACGCCATTCATTGAATTTTGAGTGTCTCAAAATTACGGTCAGCGGTTAATTTGTTTTCTTTGCGATTAAAGGAAACTTGCTACGTTTAACTTTTTTTTTAAGACTAACGGTTAATATTCCTTAACTTTTTATCTAACGGCTATAACTTTTTTTTTTGCTGTTTTACGGCTGACGGTTAGCCCTAAGGAGACCTTCAATTTTATTTAGACACCGAGGGTGGCATTTTGTAAAAGGCAAAATATCGCAATAACAATGACAATGACAAAGTGCTACAACAGCAACAGCAAGAGTGACAGTGACCGTAGCGATAAGAATGACAAGTGCTTAAAATTTGCTCAGAAAGTCGCCATCGAAGTCAAAAGTCGCGTAGTTGCACTTCGTAGTCTTCGTTTCTCTCTTTATATACAGGCCTTAACGCTCTAGGGATCTTAATATGCTCTGTCATTTTAGGCTTTTTCATAAGACAAAACCACATTATTCATTGTTTAATCAGTGAGCTCTGATTTACAGATATTATTATACCATTTAAGTCAGTATTTGTTTGTTATTTTGTTGCCAGACTGTGGTTCAGTGGTGAATAACACTTTGAAAAGTCCAAATTATCCTGAAGGCTATCCAGACAATATGGAGTGTGAATTTAAAGTTCCTATTCCATCTGGATTTAGATTGAAAATCACGTTTGAGTACATGAGGTTGCCTGATCTAAGGAATTATTATCAGTGCGTGTAAGTGAGGAATGACTGTTATCCTTTATGGGTATTTTAAGTTAGAAGAAAGAACGAATGTTGGGTTCGAGCTTGATTTTAACAGTGGCAAACAGTAAAGATGAGTTATGTTCATTTACATATTCACTTTTCTTCTGATCCTTCAATCAGCTGCGAGATAAAATTACGAAAATTTATTTTATTACAAACTGACGAGGGCAGGCAGCAAAAAGGTACCTCACTTCCTTAAACGTGCTGTTTTAACTTTTATCTTGGCAAATTATCTAAAGCCGTTCAAGCAAAATTCCTGTCTATTCCCATTTGCTTTCCTGTAATCTTATCGTCTAGCTCCTCCAAAATTCTTCCGATCTATTCATCCAGGTTGAAAAAATCTACACGAGTTCAGTTGATTTTGATTCTTCCGTCACAAATTGTTCGAGTCCAAAGTAATTGATCGTGGACTCAAAAACGCGCAAGTGAAGCAAACTTTCGAATATGACTTGTAGAAATATATCCACCCATCCCCGAACTATTATTTCAATGCAGTGATGTATGTTATTTTAGATTTATTTTTTACTTCTTTTCCAAAGGGGTGACTATTTGACGTTCCGTGACGACAGAAAACAAAGGTTTGGGAGATACTGTGGTTCAACGAATGGCAAAACTATTTTGATGACTGGAAACTACACGTTGATAAACTTTCATTCTGGAAATAGTTCTAACATGAAAAGGATAGGATTCGTGTTACGCTTTGAAGCTGTTGATCAACCCGGTAATGTATCTCAATTTCCAGTCTCCCAGAATATAGTTCAGTTTAAAAGGAAAGCAAAGAATTCTCTTCAAATATAGCGCCCGGAAATTGATTATTCGCGAGCGAAGATCTCAACGATTAATCTCATCTGTTAGAATAATTGCCTTGTGGTAAACATTATCTAAATCCCGTCAATGAATTGGGATTTGTGTGATGATCAACGATGATCGTTTGCATTACTTTTACACAGTATTATTTAGTACGAGTTGCTTTTTTCTCGGTGTAAACCATGATTGGTACAGTTTCCGCTAAAGACTGAACAATCGTAAACTTGACTTGTTTTACTTTTGTTAGTTCAACCAAGTATCTGCCCGATTGGTTGGTATCACCAATATGGTTCATCCTGCTATAAATTCAGTTTTGAGTCTCTGAATTGGGATCAAGCTAGCAGACACTGTCAAAGTCTCGGAGGATATTTGGTGAAGATCGATGATGACAAAGAGCAGTCTTCTATTACGAATAAAATAAAAGAAATGCGACTCGCAAAGGTTAGTGATTTAAAGAGGAATGACGAAAACGTGTCCATACTAGTCGCTAGGTACATTCATCTCCCAAATCATTAAAAGCAACATGCGACAGTCTGCGGCCTTTTCCCACATCTAGGCAGTTTGGAAAGCTGCAAAAAATCTGGAAAAAATGTCTTTCAAATCGGTATCGACAAACGCTTTTTATTATATAGATACCGATGAAATACCAGGATTTCTCCTTTTACTGAAAAATCGCATCTTCATCGCCCGCAGTGAAGATACTATTTTTATCTTTCACGTTTGAGGATATTGGTGTCGACATGGTTACTAATATGATTAGCCAGTTACAAAAGAGCTTCCCGTTCAGGAGCGCGGCCGGTTCTTTTGAAATTTCATTCACAAAATGGCTTCGAGGTGCGAAGACAGTACGGTAACCAGTGACTTTGTCGATGAGCTGCCAAATTTGCACATCGATCCTTTTTCCGAGTTTGAAGAACATTCAGGAAGATTTGCCGAAGTCTCGGAAAGTGATGTTGAAAAATTCATAGAAGGGGAAGAAAATGCAAACACTAAAAGTAAGACATTCTACGACTTAAGATTATGTCTCCTTTATAACTCTCTATCCGAGTTTTATAACATTTTTGTGACAGGCATTTTGCAGTAGGTGGTGGTACTCAACCAAAATATGAGTTCAGCAGTGCTAATTTATTGTTTTTATCATCTAAAGTTAATATAAACATAATTCTAAGACCCAAAGAGGTGAAGCCCTATACGTCTTCAAAGTGATCATTATTGATGTATTCATCGGATTTTTCAGTGACAATCTCTTACTTTAGGCTTTTTGGATTGGACTACACGATCCTGATAAGGATAATAACTACAAATGGGTGTATGACGATACTCCTCCTCATTACTTCAACTGGAATAGGAACAAGCCTAATAAGAAAGCGGTATGAGGCGAACATTCTTTCGTTTTTGTCATATAGTTGTTTAGTTTGGGGCAAAACTTGCTACCATATCTTTAGACCCCTTCATATTTTTATGTGCGTACATACTTGTCTTTGGTTTTCATCATATCCAACTTTAAGCCTTTGGTTCATGAACAAGTTCAAATTTGGAAAATTTCCCATCATCTTCGACACACTTTTAGATAAAATCCCATGGAAGCACAATGTTTTTAAAACAGATCTGCCTGTTACCAAATTATGGAAAATTTATGTTCGATATAATGGGCTGAAATTGTAGAATGAGATCGACTAAATATTCAAATTCTCACGGCTTCTTCATTCAAAAAATAAGTAACTATTGTATTTTACTAATTTCTATCAAGGGAAAAGCACCATTATTTTCTCTAGTTTCTATTATTTTTTAATTTATTGGTACAAATCGCTACTTCATATTGTTATTCATTCAATCATTTGTTTATCTATTTGATAATGTATTTGTTATACTCATCTTATTATTTCCTAATTTGTAATGTGTTTGAGTTATCTTTAAATCGTGTGTTTGTACTGTGAGTAGAAGTCTAATAAAGATAAAAGCATAAATGACTTAGCTCATTACCCCCATGAATGATGGTCACCGAACCGGTTTAACCCTTAAGTTATTTTCGGTGAGCAGCTACTTTCTGTAATTTACACTTCGATAAATAAGATGATTTTTAATTGTAATTGTACAGTCCGACTGTGCATTTGCCTATGGAATTTGGTATGACTTGAATGACGCACCCTTTCCAGCTGGGAAATGGAATGACGTACCGTGTGGTATCAAGGCGTTCTCCATTTGCGAGAAAAACGGTAAGTGGATCACTGACCAGTTAATTGAACGTATTTACATAACTTCACAGCCAAATTGGTTATCACAACAAGAGACGGCAACGTGAATGCCCAAATCAGTCCTGTTGGATTTAAACTCTTTTCTACGTTAATTTTTTTTCTTTTGTTCCAATATATTTACATTGCTGCTCAGCATAATGTTAAGGTAACTTCGTTTCTTTTGTTGCTGCTGTTGTTGTTTTATTCAGCCGACTGTGGTTCAGTGGTGAATAATACTTTGAAAAGTCCAAACTATCCTGAAGGCTATCCACACAAAATGGAGTGCAATTATTCAGTTCCTATTCCAGCTGGCACGAGAATGAAAATAAAGTTTCAATACTTTAAGATGCCTGACCCATATCCTGTTGGTAATGAGGTGCAGTGCTTGTGAGTAAGGATTGATTATAAACCCATATGCTTAAAGCAGGCGGAATAACATAATTAGGTCCTATAGAACCCCACCAATCACCATACCCCGGCGCTCCCTCTTTCATTACCTCTAAAAAGAATGTTTTTTCCAATAGAGGAAAGATCGATCGTAGTAGTTGTGTACAGAATTGAATACCTGTTTTGCCTTTTACCGAGTAATTTTATCCATGACTTTCCCTTAGTTACAGTGCAGCATGATCTCTCACTTCAATGCTTTTTAGGGGGAAGAGGGACTTTTATTTCAGTCAATTTTTTCTTTATTTCCTGAAGAAAAGGGTTGTATAGGAATTTGCTTTCGAAAAGTCTAGTAGATGATGTTTTTAGTTTCAGATCATTTTTCCCTTCAGTATTAGAATTATTATTATATTTTGTATTAAAAGAGACGACCATCTGACGTTTCGGAACGAACAGCACCAATATTTTGGAAGTTATTGTGGCAAAGCGACTGGAGAAACCATTTTTGTAACTGGAAATAGCGTGGTAATAAAATTTGAGTCTCGTGATAATTTTACCAGCCCGGACAGGGGATTCTCTTTGTATTTCGAAGCTGCTGATCTACCTGGTAAGACAAAATGATAGAAATTTAGAGATAAATGAAGGTAGAAAGTTTCTAAAGAAATTGTGGTACCGCGTCGTTGAGCGGTATCACAAGATAATTTGGTTTTACCAATTGAGATTGACATCTTGCGCGTGAAACTGAGGAAGCTCGAATCACGTCATCAGCCCGATAGTGTGAATATTTGTTATATGGAGAATAATACATGAGCGCGCGTAAATTTCAAATTACTCTTCGAGTGTTCAACTCGATAGCTCTAGTTGAACACGAGAAGAGAAATTCCATATCTAGAAGCAATCAGGTATTATTTTGTTCATCATATAAATACAGTAGCCCTCTACTGACAAGAAAAGCCAACTGAAATAATGAATGAAAATAAAGGCAACGACAATTCCCGAAAAAAAAATCACACAGTGGGCTGTCGCCAAGGAGGAAGATGCAAAAATGCGTTGAATCATGATTACAAAAACAATTATGGGTGTAATTTTCAATTTACAAAATTCTTATTCATCGACTTCTTCCTTACCGACAGAAGAAATCTTTCAGGTAAACGGCCAAATCAGGCTGTGGCAAGTCTTCCAGTTGTCGATTTTTTTGTTCTCAGCCTCGAGAAATGCCATTACCAAAGCCACTGGAAACGTAACTTTCGGTTTTTCTTTTGGTATACTGGTTTTCTTTCCCTCTTAGGAAAGTGATACGGTGTCTGTAAGTGATATGGATTTTTCAGTGTTTTAGCTGCCATAATCCGAGAAAAGTTCGACAAACTACCTTGGATTGAGAATGGTGAAAGCTTTACCGTTCATTAATCAACCTGACCGAGTGCACTAAAGGCGAGTGACGTGTCAGCAGCTGGTTGGCGATATCAAATACTCGTGAAAAAATATCTTATTTTTTCACGTGTGTTGTGGCGGCTTCTCTCAGGGCTGGAAATCATTTTATAACACTATAGTTTATATGATCAAAGAAATTTCGCCTTGGCTGACTATGTGTTTCGTTTTCGTTAGTTCAACCGAGAACCTGTCCATCCGGATGGTATTATCAATATGGATCATCTTGCTACAAATTTAGCTCTGAAATGGTCTCTTGGTATGAAGCAGTGAGGCGATGTAAAAGTCTTGGAGGATTTTTGGTGAAAATAGGTGATGCCGATGAACAAAGTTTCTTAACGGATAGAATCAACATCAGTAGAAAAATAAAGGTCTGTTTACAACTACCAGAGTACCATTTCACGATGTCATTTACTCTATGGCAATGGTCTGATTCAAGCAATAATTCCAACTTCATCTCAAATAACGAAGATGTTATTTTTGGTCTACTCACGATAAACAACATAATAAAAATGTAAAATACATTAAACTTTCCTTTCAGAATTGCTCATCAGTGAATTATTATCGATTTTATCTACAAAAGATAAAGTTCAAATATAAAATCAATAAGCTTGATTAAGTTTTTGATTGCCGAGCTCCTCTTTCTACTATTAGTCAAAATAATATCAATACTGCAATCTGCAATTTGTAAATTATGCGAAATTGTTAAGAAAGAATTGGTTCATGCTTAGCGTGTGTATATCGAGTTATGGATGCGCGTGGGAAATTTGGAGAGCACGAGAGAAGCATAAAAGTTACCCGAGGCGAAGCCGAGAGCAACTCTAGCTTCTTGAGTGTTATGGATGCACGGCCATGCATACCAAAGGATTTCTGCCATGCTAGCTTCTAAAGGAATTAGGTAGGACTTGCGCACGAGATGTGATATAAAATAATTTTTACCATAGTAGCTCCGAAGGAATATTACGTTACTTATGTTATTTCATTATCAACATTTAGAAATGTTAAGACCTAAACATTGTGATTGTGTTGTTGCAATATTAAATTCTTTTCTTGTCTAAAGGCACTTTGGATTGGACTTCATGATCTTGATGATGAAAATGACTTCAAATGGGAGCATGATAATACACCTGCCAACTTCTCTCACTGGAATAAGGGTGAACCTGATAATTCTGGTGATGGGGAAGACTGTGTTGCAGTCTCTGGGATTTTCTTGTACATGTACAGTCAACTATACCCTCCTGGCCGATGGAATGATATGGACTGTGACAAGAGTGCCCCTTACATTTGCGAGAAAAATATTAAGCGTAAGTAAGCCCACTTTGTCGAGTCTTCAAAGCATATTTTCTCTAAAATGTATCTTTGTGGTATCCTGCCTTAGAGATGACATTTTGCACGGAAAAAATGCGCCTCATCCAATATGTAGGGAATAAATTTAATATTTCTGACGTTCATAAGGTTGGAGCAAAGAGAGTCGCTTAAACTTTTGAAACGGAAATGGCTGAAAATGAACACAGGTATAACAGTAATTCTGCTTTACGAAGTTTCAAACAAATATATGTTATTTACCGGCTAAGGGTCGGTCCGTATGGTGAAAAACTGTGACCGAGGTCTTGAAAATACTGCCCGAGGCTGTAGGCCGAGAGCAACATTTTCAAGAACGAGGTCACAGTTTTTCACCATACGGACCGACCCTTAGCCGGTAAATAACATGTTTATTTCTTTTAAGATCTTCCATAAACTGAACAATTTTTGAGCGAGTAACTGATTAAAATAGAGGTAATGCAAATTAAAGAGAGATGCCTCACCGAAACATTTTCATTTCCGCAACGATAAAGGTGATTTAAAAGGCTTCTTAACAAACTTTGAAACATTATTTTTACAAGTATCTTTCACAATCTGACACCTGTCAATTAGAGAGCGCGTAAGAAAAAAAAAGCGCAAGTAGATTTGAAAAACAACGGAGCTAGTTTGGCAAGGACTGTGACGACAAAGTTTTCTTCAAAAACAGTCAATGATCTGACGGAAAGTATCATTCACTTTGATCGACGATCCATTCATGTTCGAAGATTTACGTCTGTTCATTAAGGAAACGGCGAGGAAAATAATTATGAGTAAATTCAAACTTTTTAATTTGAAGTTATGAGATTTTGCTCGTTTGTTTGCTGCAATGGCGTGTGTAAATCTGGTCTTTCGTCCACAAAAACTAAATTCGAATGGCACACTCCAACGAGACACAAGGGGATTTAATGCAGCCTTTTCTCAATAAATTCCTTCAGTTTCTGTTGTGCAATTTACGGTACAAATGTCCAAATTGAAAGGACTTGGAAAGACCCACCGGGAGCGTATATTTCTTGTAGAACTGAAATTAAAACTTCTCTCGCTACGAAAAATTTGTTTGAGAAAATTCAGATATTAAATGAATGAAAATTCCATCGTTCAGTTTAATGTAACCAAATACCTCACGTTTTAACTTTCTAGGTATTTTTTGTGATCGATTAAAATTAACTGCAGACGGTTTATAGGCCGCTTGTCAACCAACGTAATGACGCTATTGCTTACACAAATTCATTCTGAAACCAGTCAACCAAAGTGATTTGAGAGAGAGAAAAGAGAGGATTCATAAGTTATTTATCGGCTTGAGGTAGTGGCCGACGTGCTTGCTTAAAAATACCGCCCAGCCGGAAAAACGAGATATATTTATGAAAAATGGTAACGAAAGTTGGGATTTACTCGGCAACTCACGAAAGCGTTACCGTGGCCCGTGGGCAGAGATAGGAAAATACTGACCGGGTAAAGAACCAATCAGATTGCAGGATTTGTTACCGTGCCCTCTGAGAAAAAAATAAATGGGATTACTTTTGGTAACTAAAGTGACTTAACCACAGATATGATTCGTTTTTTGTATTTTCGTGTAAATGATAGAGGAAAAACCTGGCCTCAGCTGGATAATTTTTTCTAAATATCTACTTACTATGATTACGTGTTTTAAACGCTTCTTTGATTATTTAGATTTTACTTTTTCCAGCAGCAACAGTCGCAGCACCGGATATCATTGCCAAAACACCTACCCTTGCAATCAAAACGCAGAAAAACGAGGCCATGAGTTCTGTAGCCCTTATTTACAGCTTAGCTGGTGCTACCTTTGTAGTGATACTCGTGCTGTGCTGCATTATGGGACTTCGGTGCTACAAAAGCAAAAGACACGCTAGGTTAAAAAGGTGATGTTCACAAGCCCAAGATAGTTATTATGGTAAACAAGCACAATTCAATCACGGCTTATGTAGATTTCTGTAAGCTCCCTCTGCATGGTGTATATGCATGTCAAAAACAACAACAGAACGATCGTTTGGTCGGGTGACCTTAACGTTAGTATCTTCAAACAGATGACGCTTGCTTCCGATCCACAAGCTGAGTCAATTATTCTGCAGTTCTTTAGCTTTAGGTTTCTCAATCTGTTAGTTCTGAAAGCGCCACTTACCCAAAAACTTTTCTATCAACAAAGTAAATCTTATTGTCCCACGAATAAAAAAAATCGAAAAAAATTAATTTAGCAACTATTTTGGTTATTTTATTATTATTTTTATTATTATTATTATTATTATTGTTATTATTATTATTTTTGAGCTTCCCAAGATCCCGAAATTGGCGTCTTTCAAGTTCACGACCGAGAAGTAGGGGGAATGGGGCGGGTTGGCTCATGACATCATCCCGGAAATTACTCATATCATTTAGCGAGAAAGCAGTCACACTGCAGCCTAGGAGAGAACTACAGAATTATGCTCGGAAGATGTGTTGTTGTTGCTCTGATGAGGATATCTTCTAAAGACTTTCCTTAAATATTGCTCTTGAGCGCGGTTGGTTTTGAATATGGTGCCAAATCAGAAGGGAAGAAGGTTAACTGTAATTCTTGTCTTAATGATGAAAAAGCTATCAGTTATTAAGTCATTTAACATTCTCTCGCTGAATCCAAATTTGTGTTGTCAACAGACATGTTCAGCGTCCTTTCCGCGAGATTATTCCTCTTGACAAGTGGGAAATTCTTCCCAAGCAGGTGCATTATGAGGAGGAACTGGGCCGAGGTGCATTTGGTGTGGTTTACAAAGCAACTCTTACGAGAAGAGCTGGAATAGAAGTGTTTGAAACAAGAGAGAGACTAAAGCCAGAAAAACAATGTCAAGTTGTTGCGGTAAAAGTATTGCAGGGTGAGTAGAAATAGCGCCTAAATACCGTCAAAATGAAATTTTTAATCGCTAAGAAAAGGATCTGCCGTTGCATGGAATCATAAGTCGACTGGTAACATCTTGCAAGCTCTCCTTTTAACATATCAAGCCAGAAGGGGCTAGTTCACGACTTGCACATGCGCTGTAATAATCGAGATGGCTGTTACTCTCGTCGGGTTTCAAGCATCCTATTCAATCCAGGGGCTGTTGCGAACGCCAAAAGGTCTAAGACTGGACTCAACAAACGCTGAAAGCATCAATACCATCTATCCACAGGTGATCCAAGCGATGAGCAAAGAGAAGCTTTCCTTCATGAAATATTACAAATGAAGCTGTTGGGTTCACATCAGAATATCGTGTCTTTGGTCGGATGCTGCACACTGCAGGACACCAAGTTTCTGGTGATAGAGTATGTTCCGTATGGTGATCTGTTACAATGGTTACGGCAAAAGAGGCGATCGGTAAGGGGAGAGAGATTTTCCTGAGCAAGGCTAAATTTTTGTATTTCGATGTTAGTGAGAAAGGAAGAGGCTTAATCATTGGCCTTGTATTACGTTTCGCTAGATTCTGGATAAAACAAATAACAACTTTATCTTCTACCCTTATTCTGTATATACATATCTGTGGTAAATATTATGCCTATTACGCTTCAGGTAAATAAAAATCAAGCCCTCAGAGGAAAGGAGGCGGAAAAGTTTTATGAAGATAGAGACACTCCGATTGATGAGTTGAAAAGATGCGAACCTAGTCGAGTAAGTATTTTTGTGCTATTTCGGTAGTTTAGGCTATGGGGAAGGCTTTGCCAAGCAAGTCGCGATTGACCGTATTTATATTAGTATTCATTATTCCGTCCATTGAATTGAAACTCGAAAGTAAAGTGTACTGTTGCCTAAAAATATTATTCCTCTAAGAAATAAAATGCAGTCAAGCTAAACGGAATCAGAGACCCCTCCCCTCACCCCCGAAAAAAAAGGAGAAAAATGAGGTACTATTTTGCTTGAGAGGGAAGCTAGGCTCCTTGAGGCCCTTCAGGAAAACTACTCCACCTCCACAAGCGCAGTTGTAAAAAGAAGATTAAGGCAGATAACTCGGCGACTTGACGCAATTTCTGTCGCTTTGCATGGACTATGCGGGACGGAAAAGTGCTTTGTGAACAGCGAATGTCTTTTTCGGATTTTATTTGTCAAAATAAAGTTCGACGGATATCAAGCATTCATAATTATCTCCCTTCCATGCAAGCCATCCCACCATGAATCTTGATCTAAAAGTGAACATTAATCTATTACTTTAATTCATTCCTTTATCACCCAGAAAAGTTGTGACAGTGCTGTAAATCAGGAAAATATAGAATTGATGTCAATGCCATCCAGTCCAGGTTACTATAACCACGCTGCTGTCATTTCGCTGTCTACGGTGAATCTTCATGAGAGTAACCTTGATGGCGTAAATGATAATGATGACGTCAGTGTTGATGGTTTCTCTGCTCAACAGCTGTTTTCATTTGCTTGGCAAGTAGCAAGAGGAATGGTAAGTAAATGAATTAAATCAGAAGTGGCTGTGGGCTTACCTTCGAAAAAACCTTACGCAGAAACCATACCTGAAGATCATTCTCGACATTATTTTATGTCGTCTTCAGTTACACCTCTTTAAGCATTTTTTTTTTCATTATTTTTTCCCAGAATCACCTTGCCGAAAATGATTTCGTTCATCGTGACCTTGCAGCTCGGAACATCCTTGTTGGTCAAGACGGAGGAGTGAAGGTGTCAGACTTTGGTTTGATGCGCCAAGTGTACGAAGACGTGTACAGCATAAAAAAAGCTAAAAAGCTGCCAGTTAAATGGATGGCACCAGAGAGCATCTTCGAGGGTGTTTTCACTATCAAGAGTGACGTGTAAGTAGACTGGAGCTGCTACTGAGTGTAGTATTTCTGTTTCAGCAAATTTTCTCTTTTGTTTGTTTACAACTTGTTTTTTTCAGTCTTGCTCAGAGATGCCGCAAATCTCAATTTAATAGTTAATGTTTAAAATTTCTCGCAGTTGGTCTTATGGAATTTTTCTCTGGGAAATGGCTACCATGGGTAGGTTAAAAAGCTTCTCTTGATAGATATCTATTGTTTTTATCATTAACGTTTTTCATATTGTTAGAGTTATTTGTTCGTCGTTGCATTCATACTTCTTCCTCTGTTGTAATCAAGGTGGTGTTCCATACCCTACGTTTACCAATACAGAGCTCTGTAAACTTCTAAAGAATGGTTATCGCATGGAAAAACCTGATATGTGCTGCCATGAAGTGTGAGTAGAATTTTGTTTTGAAATAATTGTCACCCTACCGTTTTATTCTAATTGCTAACAAATTTTGCTTTTTTGACTGGATTTCACCGCAAACTCTAATAAAAATGTACTATCCCTCTTCATACTTGAAAGATATGAAATGATGACGTTATGCTGGGAGAACGATCCTACAACTCGCCCCAGTTTCTCGGAGTTGATTGACCGACTGGAGGCTATTATGACGAGGGATGTAACATACTGCGATCTGTCAAACTGCGATGAGTCGAGTCCATACTATAACATACAGGACATGGTTGACGAAGAAAGCGGATGAGATGTATAAACAAGGGTTGTCGCCCAGTCATCACCGCCTGGTAGACAACACTACCTCTGAGTTTCTTATGTTATGGATAATAGCTGTAAAGATAAGTTTCTCGAAATTTCTAGAATGCCTAGTCATGCTGACATGCTTACCTTGGATGTAATACTAACGCAGTTTCTGTATAAGCTTCCGAAATGTTCTAGAATACTTTGTAAATGTAAATAAGGATTCAGCCGTGTGGTGGTAGTTAGTTGCTGTTGTCAGGAGTGACCTACTTGGGAAGCTATACTGAAGGAGAGCTACTGCGGAAGATTGTTCATTTCGGAGTTTTGGAGACGTACGGCTGTGAGATTGTGTCAGTGGTAAGCTAAGATATAGACTGTAGTGAGCTCAAGTAAGTATATTGAGGATAATTTCTGTACTTCCTTCAGGAGTCGCTCCATATTAAGAATGTTCCTCATTGTTTGATAAAGTAGTTGAGTTTGTTTCTGTTGGTTTGATTATACCGTAACACTTATCATTGTTAAAACATGCTTAACTTGCTTAAAACATATAATTCTATAAACGGTTTTTATCTATATTGAAGTTTAAGACATTCAAAGCTGCAAGGCAAAGCTAAGGGATAGGGAAAGCCTCAATTTATTAGTTGTTACATTCCAAAGTTGAACTTTTGGTATTATGTAATGTTTAAAAAACGAGCAGGAGTGTTTAATCGGGTTTTTGACCCGATGAAACACGTGCTGCGAGTTTTTTGAACGGCTTCAAAAACATTCTTGGAAAAGCGTGTGTCAAGAGAGTTCATAACAATGAACGTTAGAAATTAGCATACGAGAAAAACATTCATGTATTGGCTAATATGCCTTTACCAGATTACTGTACTAATGGAATAGAGAATTTTTCCAGATGTGTATTTCACAACTGTACTATTAATTTGGTGAAAAAGTAAATTTACTGTGTGAAATTTGTTGAAAGAACATTAAATATGTTCCCACCATTTGTTGTGTCAGTTTCTGTGTTGATAATTAATTAATATTCATAAGTCACGTGTAGTGTCTTTATATCTGATAAAACACCGCATACCAATAAGGATGAGGTTTATCGATATAAAGTCACTGCACGTGATGTATTATCTACCATTTGATAGGTTAATGGGCTTATGAATTATTAATGAGTTTTTGAAGTTTGAATAATGGAGACATGAAGTACCACGAGCGTTGCATTTAGTTTGAGAGTTAGAAACCAGTAGTGCTAACATTTTATGAAGTGTTGCTGTTTTTACCTTTGAAATAAATTATAAAAAGAAAAAATGGAAATAAAAGGTTATAAGCTCGGAAAGATATCATCAATTGAAAAGTAGTTGTAGGTATTAAGTTGGTGTTGATTACATCAAAGGATAGTGGAAAAGCGACTTAAGTTTGTAGCTGGTGTCATCTTTACTTTGGGTGACAGTACGAGGGATGGTATCCGTTTGCTGATACTCCACGAGACTTGAAGTCGCTGCTCATTTTTCAGGCATATCTCATCGGCTATTCAAAAGGGTGTCCCGAGGAGCAAGTGGACTTCGCACAGCCACATGTGTGTATATGCCTAGCTTAGTCTGTATAGTATTGAAGGCTTTTGTATGCGCGTTTTTCAACACGGGCACGATTTATCCACTAAGGAGAAAAGAGAAAAACGTTCAATTTTAAAATTGGAAGGATCTCACATGGAGACTCTCGTGATTTCTTTTTCTGTGCTATTACATCAAGCTGTGTTGTATATGGATTTTTTGGTTCTTAGACAATATGTGAACATTATCAATCATTGCTGATACTCGCAATTCAGGGCATTTAAATTAATTTTTCATATTCTTCGGTAATACAAGACTGGGATTAAGAAGCATTTGACACTTACTTTGGCCCATCGAACTCGGTTGCTCATCTGGACAGTTCAAAAAACATTTTGATGAATGGAATCAAAACATTATAATGCTCACCAAATCTCCGGCCAATTGTTATAGCTATGGAGCTAAGAACGATATTTTGGTATTTCACTCATCGTGCAAGTCAAGACAGAAAATTATTTTCTTTCTTGTTATATTTAAGTATTGTTTACCGTATTTATCGACCATGATAAACTAGAAGCTCTCCGCAATAAGAAATGCAGTTGCGTCAGTTTGCTGCACAAGAATGCAAGATACTTTTTTTCTCGGCTTCGTAAAAAATATGTCTGAGGAACTAAAAGTACAATATATGATGACTAGGGGCATGTTAAAATAGAAAATTGAATGAACTCGGTGAGATAAAAATCTCTTTGATCAATATTGGGGATGTGACTGCAGAAGTAAGCGGAAAATACGATGCCATCGAGATTCAAAATAAAAGTAAAGAAACTTGAACTAATTTAAGTTTCAGTAAAGGTGTATTTTATCATTCTGACTGCTAACTGTCGTTACCTTCAAAAATCTATCCATTAAAAAAAGGAAAAAAATCTTGAAATTGATCCGAAGCGTTTACTTTTCGCCTGCCTGAACTGATCAGCAAATGATTCGCTTGGTACATTCATAAGGAAAGTAACATGTGAATAAAACATATGACGTGAATTTACCCTGACAATTATCGTCCTTTCAAATCTCCCTTGTCATAAACTGGTTCCCCAGTTATAGGAAAAATGTTTCGTTCAAGACTTCACGACCGAGAGAAATCTGATCAAGACGCGAGATTGCGAAACCTGTGAATTTGATTACAGTTTCGGAGATAATTTTGACCACCGATAGTAAGTTCAATTCATACAACTACTCATAAATATTTTATTTATCGATGTGAAGAAAATATTCCGTATAAGAAATATATTAGCAACTCATCCTCAAAAAGTCTGTATTAAAATGTATTTTTGATGTCGGAAAGACCCATTTTCTCTACCTTAAATATTCATTGCGAATAAACGAAACGCTGATCAAATGACCATTTCGCTTAAGCCAAAAGTCCATGTATAGCTCTACCAGTATTTTATCAGAATTGCTACAACCTTAGTGGCTACGCTACGCAGTATTCATCCCGTGATATTCATTGATATGTGGCGAGCTGAGTTAGCAACGTAACAGAGTGGATTTGTAAATAAAATAGATCAAAAACCAGAGCCTGTCTTGTTTTAAGATTTGAATGACCATGCAGAAAATTTATGCCAAAACGATTAAATATCTCTCGTTTTCTGTGGTGATATTTGATTTCCAGCTTCGCCCTTATCAACCGTCACGCAATAGAAATCCCGAGCTCATAATCTAATTGTTAAAAGAGTCACTCTGACTTGGAAAGAATTGAACGCATTCATCATTGTTAATACGAGTGATTAGAATCTGAAGAAACACAGATAAACGCTCACCGATCGTGCAGGTGAAAGTAGTCCTGAAAAGCACTGACACAAGAGTCAGTGACTTGGTGATATTCCGACGACTAACCAGAAGTCCTCAACAGCGTCGAATTGCCCTCTTTACTCTGATTATTTGCATCTTCCGCCGGCAAGATCACGCAACACGAATGATGTCATTAAATTATGCCTAAAACTAGATAGGATTTACGTAAATATCGTAAACGTGTACGATGAAATATTGAAGGGAAAATATATCTAACTCCAGTGACGCAAAAAACTTAAAGATAGCACTTTTGGAATGTATGCCCTCAAAACGTGCCAATATGAACGCCCTTCGTCTATCTTGGCTAATAGGAAGATAAACCTTGAAATGTCACCTTCGTTGTAACTTAGACTATCGCCCTTTCACCTTCCCAAAATGTCAAATGGGAGATATTGTTTGATTTAACACCAAATACTCAGAAGATGCACAGCAGTTAACATTGATTATGTATTTTTTACTCAATATAACACTGAAAAATATTTCCCCGAAGCCGCAAACGAGAATATCGCATCGCCTGACCTTAGACCTCAATATAAAGGTAGGTGATATAATAAGATCAAAATGATTTTGAAGTTCGAATTCCCAATAAACACCGTAACCCTTTCACTCCCAAGATCTCATTAGTAATCCTCCTTACTCTCTGCTATACGACTCTTATGAAGTTACTTCAGAGATTTTGGTATTGAATCAACTAACATTCCCTCAATTGATATTTTCTTCATTCTCATCACTTGTCTGTTTAATATCGTGTTGATACTGTAAGCGGAAATTCTGTCTTGGTCACTCATGGGAGTTTAAGGGGGGATTCTACCTGAAATTAGCTCAAAATATTGTTTTTTTGTTTTCTTCAGAAATGCGAGGTTCAACTATTCGACTTTACACTGACGATCGTTTTTACCGAAAAATTTTAAAATATAAATGAGAAATTACGTTAGAAAAGAAGAGGTATCTAAATAGAAATCTCGTTTCCATGGCAACCAAAACAGCATTTTTTGTTTCTTACTTGTTTACCAGCCTGTTTGGAGCTCAAAATATGTCAAACAAGCCCGAAACGCCCCTTAGAATCCTTGTGCTGTCTTACATGAAGGGGAAAATAAGAAATTGAAAGAGTAACACTGGAGACGAGTGAGAGATTTTTGTGTGAAAGTTGTCACAGTGTATTGCGAAATATTGAACTCCTTTTGTCTCTTTTGTGCTGGAATGACTGGAAAGAAGAAAAGAACCGTTTACAGGAAAACTAGGAAAAGAAAGGGGCATGGAGGAGATCGTAAAAAAAGCAATTACTGAAGAAAAGCGGTTGCAACAGGAAGAGTGAACCAAACGAACCGACCCCAGGAACTTCGCACGATCAGTCTGATCTGTCAGATTTTGGCGAAGAAAGCGATCAGCTTCCTAGTTCTTCAAGGAAGAAGATGAGATTCCAGAGCTCAGAAGATGAGTCTTCTTCAAGTTCTGATGAAAAAAAAAAAAAGTTTTCGAGGTAGCTGAGGTAGAAAAAGGATACAGGCTCGTTGATCTAAAGAGCTTCTCTTCTGTGCTCTCAACTTTACACAAATGCGAAGAAGGTGAGAAAAATATCACACATCATAAATATGCTTTTCAGCCCCTTGAACCTAAAGAAAAAAACGATAGTTAGAATTATTTGCAGAAAAGGAGTTTTATTATTGTTTAATCATTTTTTTCTGATCTTTCTTCACTGCAACACTTGTACACATTTATGGAGGTGTGAACTAATGCTCCAACATTGTGGTTCTGTTTGGTTCAGTAACTATAGCTAATAGCATCCTTTTCCGTCATGTTTTTAATATAGGAGACCTTACTATTGAAGAAAATACCGCTAGCCGTTATGGACTGATGTCAGATCTCTCCATTCACTGCAATTCTTGTGATGAAAGTACTCCTTGGCAGACATCACCCAACCTTGCCAAGAAAGGCAAATCATTTGATGTCAACCGGAGAGCTGTCTACCACTCAATAGAAACTGGAAGTGGCTACGACGGACTCTCTTCTTTCTGTGCGATAATGAACATGCCTTGTTTGTCAAGAGCTGCTTACTACAAGCAAGTTGATGTAATTTTGGAAGCACTGGAAAGTGAAGCAAAAGAAGAACTAAAAGGTGCAGGCCAAAGGCTCCGAAAGCTAATCATGGAGGAAAATGGCATCTCAGACAGCACCACAATAATTGATGCTGCTGTTAGCTTTGATGGCACTTGGGCCAAAAGAGGTTTCACATCACTAACAGGTGTTGTTTTCGTCATCTCAATTGACACAGGAGAAGTTTTAGACTATCACGTGATGTCTAAATCTTGCCGTAAGTGCTCCCTAAAGAACTCACAATGTGAAGGGAATGTGGAAGAGTTTGAAGAATGGAGGAGGGAGCATGTTGCATCTGGAGATTGTGACATCAACTTCGAAGGAAGTTCACCTGCTATGGAAGCAGAAGGAGCTTCTGTTCTTTGGAATAGATCCATCGAACTTCATAACATGAGGTACAAATGGATGGTGTCAGACGGGGACAGTAAGGCCTTTAACACTGTTCAACATGCCTATGATGACTGTGAAGTTATTAAACTGGATTGTGTAGGCCATGTGCAGAAAAGGATGGGCAAACATTTAATGAATTTGAAGGCATGCAGTAAGGGTAAACTTGCTGATGGAAAACCTATAGGAGGGCGTGGCCGGCTTACAGAAGGAAAGATCAAGCAGCTTCAAAGGTACTATGGCCTAGCAATCCGGCAAAACACCTTGACCAAGGCAAATCCCTCTGAACGGGAGGTTGACATTGCAGTTTATGCTATGAAAAAAAATATTATTGCCATTCTCCATCACTGTGTAAATTCAACTGACAATGCTAAACAACACCGCTTCTGTCCACCAGGTGATTCATCATGGTGCAAATGGCAACAGGACCAGGCAACAGGAACCAGTACCTACAAAGGAGATGACTGTTTGCCCGAAGTCTTCGTGGAGACTCTAAAACCCACATTTGTGTCATTAAGTGACAGTAAACTTTTAGAAAGATGTGTACGAGGAAAAACCCAGAACCCAAATGAAAGCATCAACGCAATGGTTTGGGTCCGGTGTCCCAAACATAAACACCATGGAGTGAAAGTTGTCCGGTGTGCTGCTGCGTCTGCAGTCTGCCACTTCCACAGAGGTGCAGAAAGCAGAGAAAGATTGATGGAAAGGCTTTCAATTCCTGGAGGTGCATTTACTGAGGATGCATTTCGACTAAGAGATAATTCAAGGCTTCGGAAAGCTGATAAGCAGGCAACGGCCAAGGAGAAGAAGCGCCGGCAGGGATTGCAGCTTATCCGTACTCAAAGAGAAGCGGCTCTTCGTGAAAAAGAAGATGTTTCATATGAAGCTGGGGCATTCTAACTCTTGCTCTTGCCTATCCTAATTATATTTGAACTTATGGCTACTCATTGACTTCATAATTTGAATACAGGAGGTGTTTAATTTTAAAATCTTGTAACTTTAGGCCTTTTTTTCTCAAAACGTATTTTTTAATACTTGAGAAAAGATTACTCAAGAAGTATGAGAGCTATGGACCTGAAATTTTTAGGGATTGCTGATCTAATTGAGTTATTTGGGATGAGTGAAGGAAAATGCCATAGAGGTCTTTCTAAAGAAATGATTAAACAAATAGTGATCATGTGTTAGATGTGTAACTTGACACCAGTGCTGTGATGTCAAATTTAAAAAATTCTTGAAATCCTTCACTCATCCCAACAAGTATTCAATATTCTTTAGAATAACAGCAAAATATTGGTATTTCATTGAAACAGTTTCTAACAATCTTTACTCAAGTACATATAGGTGAGACACTACAAGTTGTTAATTGAAATGACCGGTGTCAGGTTACATTTGCTGCAGGTGTGACATAACACCTTTTTTTGAAAAATATAGTTCATAAGCTTTCCAGTGATATATAGTTTTAGATAGTTGTGACCAAAACTTAAATTCCTACAATTATTTGAAAAAATGCACTTTTTTTAGGTAGAATCCCCCCTTAAGTGTTAAATGTATATTTGCCTCGGGTAAAAATTGTGTTCATTATCATTTTCGGTATATTCCTTGTACAGTTTTTTTTTCTTTCAGAGTTTGCAACGTACAATGCCACGAAGACGTGTTTTCAGTTCCATTGCTTGTCAGATGTTATAGAAGGTAACTTAACCAGATTTTCTGCAAATTCGGTTTTCTTCCATAGTGGTTTTGAGGACGGCTTTAAGAAACTAGTGCAATGATCGAACATCCCTTTGCCGGTTTCCCAAAATTTTGCTTGCTCAAGGGTGGTGAAACTCTGAATTTAAATTTCAGCTGTTCGTTAATTCTTTGAACCTGTATGTTGCTAGCGAGGGTATATTCGTGTTTGGATTAGTAGCTGCAATAAAGCCTTACACGAAAGTCAGCCTGCTAAAATTTTCTGAGTGCCCACTAACCAATTACAGATGCCCTAATATCTAATCGATGTGATAAGACCCGTCAGCTTTACTTCTCTAAATTTCACAGTGTTGATCTTCAAGGTGTTTGTGAACTCATGAGTTGTTTTATCTCCTGAACAATTTAAGTTCCATTTAGGTCGGTCGACAGGATGTGTTCAGCAAACAAGCCATTAGCAAATTTGCATTTAAAATCAACGGAAATTTTTACAAAATATCTCATCGCCAATTTTTTTTTTTATTTTGTTTCTGATATTTAGGGATACTGCTGTAACCCAAGATAAAAAAATATGATAAGAAGTCTTTTCCCATTGCTCGTTCTGCAGATGTGGAATGTGACAGTTGGCGGCGATGCTGCCGCACAGGGTAACCACACAATTACACAGTCGTTGAATTTTGAGTGTCTCAAATTACGGTCAGCGGTTAATTTGTTTTCTTTGCGATTAAAGGAAACTTGTAACCGTTCACTTTTTTTTTAAGACTAACGGTTAATATTCCTCAACTTTTTCTCTAACGTCTATAACTTTTTTTTGCTGTTTTACGGCTGACGGTTAACCCTAATGAGACCTTCAATTTTATTTAGACACTGAGGGTGGCATTTTGTAAAAGGCAAAATATTGCACAATGACAATGACAAAGAGCTACAACAGCAAGAGTGACAGTGGCCGTAGCGATAAGAATGACAATCGCTTAAACTTTGCTCAGAAAGTCGCCATCGAAGTCAAAAGTCGCGTAGTTGCAATACAGGGTCGTCGTGCTTCTCTATCTCAACAATCCTGGACGCGAATGGGATCTTAATAAGTTCTGTTATTTTAGTCTGTTCATTAGACAAAACCACATTATTCATTGTTTGATCAGTGAGCTCTGATTCACAAATATTATTTTACCATTTAAGTCAGTATTTGTTTGTTATTTTGTTGCCAGACTGTGGTTCAGTGGTGAATAACACTTTGAAAAGTCCAAATTATCCTGAAGGCTATCCAGACAATATGGAGTGTGAATTTAAAGTTCCTATTCCATCTGGATTTAGATTGAAAATCACGTTTGAGTACATGATGTTGCCTGATCTAAGGAATCATTATCAGTGCGTGTAAGTGAGGAATGACTGTTATCCTTCATGGGTATTTTAAGTTAGAAGAAAGAATGAATGTTGGGTTCAAGCTTGATGTTAACAGCGAAAAACGGTAAAGATGAGTTATGTTCATTTACATATTCACTTTCCTTCTGATCCTTCATTCAGCTGCGTGAGAAAATAGCGAAAATTTATTTTGTTACAAACTGACGAGGGCAGGCAGCAAAAAGGTACCTCACTTCATTAAACGTGCTGTTTTAATTTTTATCTTGACAAATTATCTAAAGCCGTCCAAACAAAATTCCGGTCTATTCCCACTTGCTTTCCTGTAATCAAATCGTCTTGCTCCTTCAAAATTCTTCCGATCTATTCTTCCGGATTGAAAAAAAAACTACATGAGTTCAGTTGGCAAAATTGGCTTTCGATTCTTCCGTCACTGATTGTTCGAGTCCAAAGTAATTGATCATGGAGTCAAAAACGCGCAAGTGAAGCAAACTTTCGAATATGACTTGTAGAAATATATCCACCCATTCGCCAACTATTATTTGCAATGCAGTGATGTATGTTATTTTAGATTTATTTTTTATTTGTTTTCCAAAGGGATGACTATTTGACGTTCCGTGGCGACAGAAAACAAAATTTTGGGAAATACTGTGGTTCAACGACAGGCGGAACTTTTATGATAACTGGCAACTACACGTTGATAAACTTTCATTCTGGAAATAGTTCTAACATGAAAAGGATAGGATTCATGTTACGCTTTGAAGCTGTTGATCAACCCGGTAATGTATCTCAATTTCCAGTCTCCCAGAATATAGTTCAGTTTAAAAGGAAAGCAAAGAATTCTCTTCAAATATAGCGCCCGGAAATTGAGTATTCACGAGCGAAGATCTCAACGATTAATCTCAACTATTAGAATAATGGCCTTGCGATAAACATCATATAAATCTCGTCAATTGTGCGATTACTTTTACACAGTATTATTTAATACATGTTGCTTTTTTCTCAGTATAGACGATGATTGGTACAGTTTCCGCTAAAGACTGAACAATCCTAAACTTGACTTGTTTTACTTTTGTTAGTTCAACCAAGTATCTGCCCGATTGGTTGGTATCATCAACATGGTTCATCCTGCTATAAATTCAGTTTTGAGTATCTGACTTGGCATCAAGCTAGCAGACACTGTCAAAGTCTCGGAGGATATTTGGTGAAGATCGATGATGACAAAGAGCAGTCTTATATTACGGATAAAATAAAAGAAATTCAACTCGCACAGGTTCGTGATGTAAAGAGGAATGACGAAAACGTGTCCATACCAGTCGCTAGGTACAATAATCTCATAAATCATTAAAAGCAACATGCGACAGTCTGCGACCTTTTCCCACATCTAGGTAGTATGGAAAGCTGCAAAAAAATCTGGAAATAATATCTTTCAAATCGGTATCGACAAACGCTTTTTACTATATAGATACCCATGAAATACCAGGATTTTCCCTTTTACTAAAAAATCGTATCTTCATCGCGCCCGGTGAAGATACTATTTTTATCTTTCACGAGTGAGGATATTGGTGTCGACATGATTACTAACATGATTAGCCAATTACAAAGGAGCTTCCCGCCCAGGCGCGCGGCCGGTCTTTTGAAATTCCATTCACAAAATGGCTTCGAGGTGCGAAGACGGTACTGTAACCGGTGACTTTGTCGATGAGCTGCCAAATTTTCACATCGATCCTTTTTCCGAGCTTGAAGAACATTCAGGAAGATTTGCCGAAGTCTCGGAAAGTGATGTTGAAAAATTCATAGAAGGGGAAGAAAATGCAAACACTAAAAGTAAGACATTCTACGACTTAAAATTATGTCTCCGTTATAACTCTATATCCAAGTTTCATAACATTTTGTAAGAGGCATTTTGCAGTAGGTGGTGGTACTCAACCAAAATATGAGTTCAGCAGTGCTAATTTATTGTTTTTATCATCTAAAGTTAATATAAACATAATTCTAAGACCGAAAGAGGTGAAGCTCTACACTTCTTTAAAGTGATCATTATTGATGTATTCATCTAATTTTTCAGTGACAATCTCTCACTTTAGGCTGTTTGGATTGGACTACACGATCCTGACAAGGATAATAACTTTAAATGGGTGTATGACGATACTCCTCCTCGTTACTCCAACTGGAATAGGGACGAGCCTAATAATAAAGCGGTATGAGGCGAACATTCTTTCATTTTTGTCATATAGTTGTTTAGTTTGGGGCAAGACTTGCTATCATATCTTTAGACCCCTCCATATTTTTATGTGCGTACATACTTGCCTTTGATTTTATCATGTCCAACTTCAAGCCTTTGGTTCATGAACAAGCTCAAATTTGGAAAATGTTCCATCATCTTTGACACACTTTTAGATAAAATCCCATGGAAGCACAATGTTTTAAAAGAGATCTGCCTGTTACCAAATTATGGCAAATTTATGTTCGATATAATGGGCCGAAATTGCTGAATGAGATAGACTAAATATTCAAAATTGTCACAGAGTCTTCATGCAAAAAATAATTAACTATTGTATTTTACTAATTTCTATCAAGAGAAAAGTGCCATTACTTTCTCTTGTTTCTACTATTTTTTCATTTATTGGTACAAATCGCTACCTCATATTGTTATTCATTCAATCATTTGTTTATCTATTTGATAATATATTTGTTATACTTAGCTTATCATTTCATAATTTGTAATGTGTTTGAGTTATCCTTAAATCGTGTGTACTGTCAGTAGAAGTCTTAATAAAGATAAACGCATAAATGATTTAGCTCAATACCCCTATGAATGATGGTCACCGAACCGGTTTAATCCTTAAGTTATTTTCGGTGAGCAGGGCTAGCTACTTTCTGTAACTTAAACTTCCATAAATAAGATGATTTATAAATGTAATTGTACAGTCCGACTGTGCACGGGCCTATGGGATTTGGTTTGACTTGAATGGCGCACCCTTTCCAGCTGGGAAATGGAATGACGTATCGTGTAGTGACAAGACATTCTCCATTTGTGAGAAAAACGGTAAGTGGATCACTGGCCAGTTAATTGAACGTTTTTACATAACGTCACGGCCAAATTGGTTATCACAACAAGAGACGGCAACGTGAATGCCCAAATCAGTCCTGTTGGATTTAAACTCTTTTCTACGTTAATTTTTTTCTTTTGTTCCAATATATTTACATTGTTGCGCACCATAATGTTAAGATAACTTCGTTTCTTTTGTTGCTGCTGTTGTTGTTTTATTCAGCCGACTGTGGTTCAGTGGTGAATAATACTTTGAAAAGTCCACACTATCCTGAAGGCTATCCACACAAAATGGAGTGCAATTATTCAGTTCCTATTCCAGCTGGCACGAGAATGAAAATAAAGTTTCAATACTTTCAGATGCCTGACCCATATCCTGTTGGTAATGAGTTACAGTGCTTGTGAGTAAGGATTGATTATAAACACATATGCTTACAGCAGGCGGAATAACAGAATTAGGTCCTATAAACTCTTTCATTACCTCTAAAAAGAATGTTTTTTCCAATAGAGGAAAGATCGATCGTAGTAGTTGTGTACAGAATTGAATACCTGTTTAGCCTTTTACCTAGTAATTTTATCCATGACTTTCCCTTAGTTACAGTGCAGCATGATCTCTCACTTCAATGCTTTTTAGTGGGAAGACGGGCTTTTATTTCAGTCAATTTTTCCTTTATTTCCTGAAGAAAAGGTTGTATATGAATTTGCTTTCGAAAAGTCCAGTAGATGATGTTTTTAGTTTCAGATTATTTTTCCCTTCAGTATTTTCCTGAAGAAAAGGTTGTATATGAATTTGCTTTCGAAAAGTCCAGTAGATGATGTTTTTAGTTTCAGATCATTTTTCCCTTCAGTATCAGAATTATTATTATATTTTGTACTAAAAGAAACGACCATCTGAAGATTCTGAACGAACAGCATGAATATTTTGGAAGTTATTGTGGCAAAGCGACTGGAGAAACCATTTTTGTAACTGGAAATAGCGTGGTGATAAAATTTGAGTCTCGTGAAAATTTTACCAGCCGGGAGCGAGGATTCTCTTTGTATTCCGAGGCTGCTGATCTACCTGGTAAGAAAAAATGATAGCAATTTAGAGATGAATAAAGGTAGAAAGTTTCTAAAGAAATTGTGGGACCGCGTCGTTGGGCGGTATCACAAGGTAATTTGGTTTACTAATTGAGATTGACATCTTGCGCGTGAAACCGAGAAAGCTCGACTCGCGTCATTAGCGCGATAGAGTGAATATTTGTTATATGGAGAATAATACATGAGCGCGCGTAGATTTCAAATTACTCTTCGAGTGTTCAACTCGATAGCTCTAGTTGAACACGAGAAGAGAAATTCCATATCTAGAAGCAATTAGGTATTATTTCCTTTATCATATAAACACAATAGCCCTTTACTGACAAGAAAAGCCTACTTTTATAATGAATGAAAATAAAGGAAACGACAATTCCCGAAAAAAAATCACACAGTGGGCTGTCGCCAAGGATGAAGATGCAAAAATGCGTTGAATCATGATTACAAAAACAATTATGGGCGTAATTTTCAATTTACAAAATTCTTATTCATCGACCTCTTCCTTACCGACAGAAGAAATCTTTCAGGTAAACGGCCAAATCAGGCTGTGGCAAGTCTTCCAGTTGTCGATCTTTTTGTTCTCAGCCTCGAGAAATGCCATTACCAAAGCCACTAGATACGTAACTTTCGGTTTTTTTTTTTCGTATACTGGTTTTCTTTCCCTCTTAGGAAAGCGATACGGCGTCTGTAAATGACATGGATTTTTCAGTAAATTAGCTGTCATAATCCGAGAAAATAACAAAATACCTTGGATTGAGAATGGTGAAAGCTTTGCCGTTCATTCATCAACCTAACCGAGCGGCACCAAATAGTTTATATGATAAAAGAAATATCGCCATGGCTGACTATGTGTTTCATTTTCGTTAGTTCAACCATCCATCCATCCATCCTGTCCATCCGGATGGTATTATCAGTATGGATCATCTTGCTACAAATTTAGCTCTGAAATGGTCACTTGGTATAAAGCAGTGAGGCGATGTAAAAGTCTTGGAGGATTTTTGGTGAAAATAGATGATGCCGATGAACAAAGTTTCATAACGGATAGAATCAACAGCAGTAGAAAAATAAAGGTCTGTTTACAGCTGCCAGAGTACCATTTCACGATATCATTTACTCTGGAAGTCGGTGGCAATGGTCTGATTCAAGCAATAATTCCGACTTGATCTCAAATACCGAAGATGTTATTTTTGGTCTATTCACGATAAAATAAATAGATAAAATGGAAAATACATCAAATTTTCCTTTCAGAACTTCTCATCAGTGAATTATTATCTATTTTATCAAAAAAAGATAAAGTTCAAATATAAAATCAATAAGCTTGATTAAGTTTTTGATTGCCGAGCTCCTCCTTCTACTATTAGTCAAAATAATATCAATACTGCAATCTACAACACAACCAAAGGATTTCTACCATGCTAGCTTCTAAAGGAATTAGGTAGGACTCGCGCGCGAGATGTGATATAAGAGAATTTTTACTATAGTAGCTCCGAGGGAATATTATGTTACTTATGTTATTTCATTATCAATATTTAGAAATGTTAAGACCTAAACATTGTGATTGTGTTGTTGCAATATTAAATTCTTTTCTTGTCTAAAGGCACTTTGGATTGGACTTCATGATTCTAATGATGAAAATGACTTCAAATTTGAAGTTCATTAGGTTGGAGCAAAGAGAGTCGCTTAAACTTTTGAAATGGAAATGGTTGAAAATGAACACAGGTATAACACTAATTCTGCTTTACGAAGTTTCAAATGAATGGGATTACTTTTGGTAACTAAAGTGACTTAACCACAAATAAGATTCGTTTTTTGTATTTCGTGTAAATGATAGAGGAAAAACCTGGCCTCAGCTGGAGAATTTTTTCTAAATATCTACTTACTATGATTACGTGTTTTAAATGCTTCTTGGATTATTTAGATTTGACGTTTTTCAGCAGCAACAGTCGCAGCACCGGATATCATGGCCAAAACACCTACCCTTGCAATCAAAACGCAGAAAAACGAGGCCATGAGTTCTGTAGCCCTTATTTACAGCTTGGCTGGTGCTACCTTTGTAGTGATACTCGTGCTGTGCTGCATTATGGGACTTCGGTGCTACAAAAGCAAAAGACACGCTAGGTTAAAAAGGTAATGTTCACAAGCCCAATATAGTTATTATGGTAAACAAGCACAATTCAATCACGGCTTATGTAAATTTCTGTAAGCTTCCTTACAGCAACAACAACAAACAACAACAGAACGTTTGGTCGGGTGATCTTAACGTTAGTATCTTCAAACAGATGACGCTTGCTTCCGATCCACAAGCTGAGTTCTTTAGCTTTAGGTTTCTCAATCTGTTAGTTCTGAAAGTGCCACTTACCCAAAAACTTTTCTATCAACAAAGTAAATCTTATTGTCCCACGAATAAAAAAAAACGAAAAAGTTAATTTAGCAACTACTTTGGTTATTTTATTATTATTATTTATTATTATTATTATTATTATTATTGTTATTATCATTATTTTTGAGCTTCCCAAGATCCCGAAATTGGCGTCTTTCAACTTCACGACCGAGAAGTAGGGGGAATGGGGCGGGTTGGCTCATGACATCATCCCGGAAATTATTCATATCATTTAGCGAGAAAGCAGTCAAACTGCAGCCTAGGAGAGAACTACAGAATTATGCTCGGAAGATGTGTTGTTGTTGCTCTGATCAGGATATCTTCTAAAGACTTTCCTTAAATATTGATCTTGAGCGCGGTTGGTTTTGAATATGGTGCTAAATCAGAAGGGAAGAAGGTTAACTGTAATTCTTGTCTTAATGATGAAAAAGCTATCAGTTATTAAGTCATTTAACATTCTCTCACTGAATCCAAATTTGTGTTGTCAACAGACATGTTCAGCGTCCTTTCCGCGAGATTATTCCTCTTGACAAGTGGGAAATTCTTCCCAAGCAGGTGCATTATGAGGAGGAACTGGGCCGAGGTGCATTTGGTGTGGTTTACAAATCAACTCTTACGAGAAGAGCTGGAATAGAAGTGTTTGAAACAAGAGAAAGACTAAAGCCAGAAAAACAATGTCAAGTTGTCGCGGTAAAAGTATTGCAGGGTGAGTAGATATAGCGCCTAAATACCGTCAAAATGAAATTTTTAATCGCTAAGAAAAGGATCTGGCGTTGCATGGAATCATAAGTCGACTGGTAACATCTTGCAAGCTTTCCTTTTAACATATCAAGCCAGAAGGGGCTAGTTCACGACCTGCGTACGCGCTGTAATAATTGAGATGGCTGCTACTCTCGTCGGGTTTCAAGCATCCTATTCAATCCAGGGGCTGTTGCGAACGCCAAAAGGTCTAAGACTGGACTCACAAACGCTGAAAGCATCAATACCATCTATCCACAGGTGATCCAAGCGATGAGCAAAGAGAAACTTTCCTTCATGAAATATTGCAAATGAAGCTGTTGGGTTCACATCAGAATATCGTGTCTTTGGTCGGATGCTGCACACTGCAGGACACCAAGTTTCTGGTGATAGAGTATGTTCCGTATGGTGATCTCTTACAATGGTTACGGCAAAAGAGGCGATCGGTAAGAGGAGAGAGATTTTCCTGAGCAAGGCTAACTTTTTGTATTTCGATGTCTGTGAGAAAGGAAGAGGCTTAGTCATTAGCCTTGTATTACGTTTCGCTAGATTCTGGATAAAAAAATAACAACTTTATCTTCTACCCTTATTCTGTATATACATATCTGTGGTAAATATTATGCCTATTACGCTTCAGGTGAATAAAAATCAAGCCCTCAGAGGAAAGGAGGCGGAAAAGTTTTATGAATATAGAGACACTCCGATTGATGAGTTGAAAAGATGCGAAACTAGTCGAGTAAGTATTTTTGTGCTATTTCGGTTGTTTAGGCCATGGGGAAGGCTTTGCCAAGCAAGTCGCGATTGGCCGTATTTATATTAGTATTCATTATTTCGTCCATTGAATTGAAACTCGAAAGTAAGGTGAAATGTTTCCTAAAAATATTATTCCTCTAAGAAATAAAATGCAGTCAAGCTAAAGGGAATCAGAGGCCCCTCCCCTCACCCCCGAAAAATCAAGGAGAAAAATGAGGTGCTATTTTGCTTGAGAGGAAAGCTAGGCTCCATGAGGCCCTTCAGGAAAACTACTCCACCTCCACAAGCGCGGTTGTAAAAAGAAGATTAAGGTAGATAACTCGGCGACTTGGCGCAATTTCTGTCGCTTTGCATGGACTATGCGGGACGGAAAAATGCTTTGTGAACAGCAAATGCCTTTTTCGGATTTTATTTGTCAAAATAAAGTTCGACGGATATCAAGCATTCATAGTTATCTCCCTTCCATGCAAGCCATCCCACCATGAATCATGATCTAACAGTGAACATTAATCTATTAATTTAATTCCTTCCTTTACCACTCAGAAAAGTTGTGACAGTGCTGTAAATCAGGAAAATATCGAATTGATGTCAATGCCATCCAGTCCAGGTTACTATAACCACGCTGCTGTCATTTCGCTGTCTACGGTGAATCTTGATGAGAGTAACCTTGATGGCGTAAATGATAATGAAGACGTCGGTGTTGATGGTTTCTTTACTCAACAGCTGTTTTCATTTGCTTGGCAAGTAGCAAGAGGAATGGTAAGTAAATGAATTAAATCAAAAGTGACTGTGGGCTTACTTTCGAAAAAACCATACCTGAAGATCATTCTCGACATTATTTTATGTCGTCTTCAGTTACACCTCTTTAAGCATTTTTTTTTCATTATTTTTTCCCAGAATCACCTTGCCGAAAATGATTTCGTTCATCGTGACCTTGCAGCTCGGAACATCCTTGTTGGTCAAGACGGACGAGTGAAGGTGTCAGACTTTGGTTTGATGCGCCAAGTGTACGAAGACGTGTACAGCATAAAAAAAGGTAAAAAGCTACCAGTTAAATGGATGGCACCAGAGAGCATCTTCGAGGGTGTTTTTACTATCAAGAGTGACGTGTAAGTAGACTGGAGCTGCTACTGAGTGTAGTGTTTCTGTTTCAACAAATTTTCTTCTTTGTTTTTTTACAACTTGTTTTTTTCAGTCTTGCTCAGAGATGCCGCAAATCTCAATTTAATAGTTAATGTTTAAAATTTCTCGCAGTTGGTCTTATGGAATTTTTCTCCGGGAAATGGCTACCATGGGTAGGTTAAAAAGCTTCTCTTGATAGATATCTATTGTTTTTATCATTAACGTTTTTCATATTGTTAGAGTTATTTGTTCGTCGTTGCATTCATACTTCTTCTTCTGTTGTAATTAAGGTGATGTTCCATACCCTACGTTTACCAATACAGAGCTCTGTAAACTTCTAAAGAATGGTTATCGCATGGAAAAACCTGATATGTGCTGCGATGAAGTGTGAGTAGAATTTTATTTTTAAATAATTGTCACCCTGCCGTTTTATTCTAATTGCTAACAAATTTTGCTTTTTTGACTGGATTTCACCACAAACTCTAATAAAAATGTGATACCCTTTTCATACTTGAAAGATATGAACTGATGACTTCATGCTGGGAGAACGATCCCACAACTCGCCCCAGTTTCTCGGAGTTGATTGACCGACTGGAGGCTATTATGACGAGGGATGTAACATACTGCGATCTGTCAAATTGCGATAAATCGAGTCCATACTATAACATACAGGACATGGTTGACGAAGAAGGCGGATGAGATGTATGAATAAGGGTTGTCGCCTAGTAATCACCTCCTGGAAGATAACATCACCTCCGAGTTTCTTATGTTATGGATAATAGCTGTAAAGATAAGTTTCTCGAAATTTCTAGAATGCCTAGTCATGCTGACATGCTTACGTTGGATGCAATACTAACGAAATTGTTGTGTTGTAAGCTTCCTGAATTTTCTAGAATACTTTGTAAATGTAAATAAGGATTCAGCCGTGTAGTAGTAGTTAGTTGCTATTGTCAGGAGTGACCTACTTGGGAAGCTATACCGAAAGAGAGCTACTGTGGAAGATTGTTCATTTCGGAGTTTTGAAGACGTGCGACTGTGAGATTGTGTCAGTGGTGAGCTAAGATATAGACTGTAGTGACCTCAAGTAAGTATATTGAGGATAATTTCTGTACTTCCTTTAGGAGTCGCTCCTCATTAAAATGCGAAAATTTTCAGCCTGGCCATCAGGATTTCGGTCTTTGCGACCGACGACATTACGATAACTAGGCATAACCGCCGTCTCACATGAACAAATCTCAAAATTTAATAAAATTTGGAGATCAGACACTCATTAAAAGAAATCACTCCATCAACTCAGGTTTTCTCAGGTGGCTTTATTTATGCGTACCAAAGAATCTTTAAAAAATTTTCATCGTTACATTTAGTAAGCCGTTGCGGTGTGTGCAAAGAAAGCCCTTGACGGCGGAAGTATCAAACTTTACTAAGCGCCTAGGAGAAAAAGTACTTACCATTTATCATCGCAAATCGTTATTCAAAGACAAATCCTCCAATACTATCCTCGACTTCCTCGAAAAGTTCTTCTTTCGAATGACGAACCTTACGTTGACGTCAAATAGATAAGGACGAGTATTACCTTTTTTATAGTTCGTTCTCCTTTTACAAGAATTTAGGCTGTTGTCTCTATTGTTGTCGCTGACCGAGTTTTCTGAGGAAGGAAAATGATTCTCGCAGCGAAGAAAATATCAGTAAGCGCATGAGTGTTCAGTTAGCCATTCTAAAAATATTAAAATTGAAACTTGGCTCCGAGGCTTGGGGGAAAAAAACAAAAGAAATCACATCGAGGTTGAGGGATGAATGATATATTCCTTTTGTTTCCCCCCCCCCAGCCTCGGAGCCATGTTAGAATTTTAATGCACTGAAAGTAGCCTATCAATGACCTTTCAGTGTCACGCAATGCTGACAAATGTTTATTGACAGCTCTCATTGTGAGTCTCTTCTGCTTCTTCCCATTCATTCGACTGTATCTCGCTCAAAGCTATTATAAATCATCTCAGTCGTTTCAAGCAGCAGAAAATGGGATGATATCTGGTTAAGTAGGCTACGCGGTATTTAAAACTTGCACAGACTATACTTTAATGTTGCTATGCTTACGTAATCTTGCATTGTTTTCTTTGACTTGCATACAAAATACTATTTTTATTTTTTTTAATAAAACCAATTTTATTTGACCTGCGAATAAAAACCAGTTAGACCAATGGTCCTCGCTGGTTAGCTATCATGAAAGCAAATGCGAAAAGAAGCTAGGCCTGAAAAAACTCAGGCTTCGAAGGGATTCGAAACCATACTCTCAGATACTAGTTGGGGCACAACCGACTGAAATACGTTGCCAGCGAGGCACATTTTCGAGGTTTCTTCTTTCGCGTGTAATTTTAATTTTGCATGGATAAAAGTTTGCTTCTTTTTTTATTTTAGCAAAACATGATTTTTTCATAATCAAATGTTATGGCTATATGATTACAACAATGTATAGAAATACAGAAACAGTTACTTCTACTGACTAAAGAGAAAGTTATCGATGATTTTTAAACAGCCTGGATGGTACTATTTACATCACTGTCTTGTCTTTCAGGGCCTGTAATCTTCCCTATAATGTACTTGTCATCATGAAATATTTTTGTCCATACAAGTTCAGTTCCTTTTTTGTAAAAAGGCAAGAAAAGAAAACTACTTACACAGGTTGTAAACGTACCTCCCTTCCGCCAATAGCTATCCTTCACTCCAGCGATTAAATATAAGATTACAGCTAAATAAAGTATTGTATAAATCAAGTATACAAGCAATCGAAAGCAGAAGATAATAAGTGCCCCCTTAAATATTAAGTGCACTTGCCCCGGTGCCATATGGCAAATTTTCATTTCATTCAGAACTCCAAGAATCATTGTTACAAAGAACGCATTCAGGGAGAACGTAACGCAAACTGCTACCATAGCTCTAAATTTGTATACGGATGCGACGATTGAGGAACTTGTGCTCTCAATAACATCCCCTATGACAAAGAGCACAAATACAAATAGTAAGGTCCAAAATTTCGGCAAACGAATAAGATTTTTCATCAGAGGGCAGAAGCCGGTGAAATGCGGAGATATGAAAACTGCTCCAAGAAAGATCCAACAGTTCACTGTGTCCAAACAATTTAAGGCCATAATCAGTCTGGAGTAAGATTCTGTCCTGCCGAAGTAGCGCACAAGCTGCATTGGAAATACGTGAGAGGCATTTTTGGTGCTAGATGATAGATTCGTGGTTTTTAAGTGACTCTCCGAAGTGAAAACGGACGATATTGATTTTCCAAAATAATAAATGAAAGTGAAAGTAACCACTAATTCAGCCAGCAAAAGCAATAAATACATAATCATGGAAATCCTCCGGCCGAAGGAGGGCTTGCAGCAAGTGCACTTTCGTTGACGGTTTGGTTCCATCTCAGTTGATATCATCGAGGCCATCTCCTCCGTCTCATTCATGGTTCTTGGGGAATCTAGGTCAGGGTGGATAAAGTCAATTCATCAGAAACTCCTTCGAAAATGAAAAATACTGACAATCCTGACTGAAACGGTCATATTAATCTCAAACGCTACCCAGTAGACCATGACCGAGACAATACTCGAATCGTAATTAACTGAGATACGCCAAAACATGTCAATATGTCACTGAAATATCCCTTGGCACTTACCCAAATCTAATTGCTGTGCAGTGAGAATAAACCCAAATCAGCTTGGTCAGTATGTTCGGAAGATTTCTAGAAGACGATAAAAAGAACAAAGAAATCAAGAAATGACTAACTGAAAAGGTAGTACTAAGTTCACAATTAGGCTATTAATTTGACGATTTTACATTTTGTTTATCCCTTTCCACGACGATATTAGCTCAACTTCACTACAATCTTGGCTTCGAGACACGCTTCTACCGTCCAAATACACCGAGGTTTTCGTTCTGAGAGAATATTACGGTACGACTGAATTCCTCTTCGAAGCTTCATCTTACTGTCTGTTGGCCTGGAGAAACTGAGCGGTTTATTTTGCCGTTGTGCTCATGTCACGAAAATTCACTCCGCTTCGTTTCAGTTCTTGATTTTAACGTCAGAAAATGAAACAAAATGAGTATTTCGTACTGATTATCCCATAAACTACTCTTATTCATGCGACTATGATATGAGTGAAATAGCTGAAATAAAACTGTACCAATCGGATATATCATTTCTTCCGCTTTGGTTATCTGGGTTGCAGTTTGATTGAATTTCAGTTCTATTGAGGCATAAGTAATCTGAATATTTTCTATCGCCGCACTGATCATAAAGCCGCTGATTCACGTCGTGAAAATGAAACAAAATGAGTATTCCGTGATGATTATCCAACAAACTACACTTATTCATGCGACTATGGTAAGAGCGAAATAGCTGAAATAGAACTGTACCAATCGGATATACCATTCCTTCCGCTTTGGTTGTCTGGGTTGCAGTTTGATTGAACTTCGGCTCTATTGAGGCATAAGTAATCTGAATATTTTCTATCGCTGCACTTTACCTCTTGGTACTTGTTCAAATAAAAGCCTTCATCCGCAGAAAATTCAATGATATTCTAAGATGCGAAGAGAACCATTAATGAGGTCGCCTTTGCTCTTCCTGAGCTGTTCTGAAATCAAAGCAAAACTAAATCCAATCCGGGACTTCCTCCGAAAACGTTTGCTCAAATATAGTTCATTACATCATATGCACGATGGTCGGTTGCCAAGGGTTTTCCTCCCGCAACTCGTAGAAATCGTCAGCGGCAGTTGGCACGAAAAGTAAAGGCCTATTCAAAAATGGCGGCAAATAACGACAGCGCGAGCACATCAAACAAACTCAGTTTAAGGCACTACGGCATGGAGGATGAGACAGAGAGAGAAGACCGGTTTTGGAATACCAGCTCCGTAGAGATGAAGTTCTGTACGGGGAAAGAATGGTTGAGGAGGGTTCGTTTCGCAGAAAATAAACCTAATTACGGGATGAGAGACCTTGATCCCGTGTTGGAAGAACTCACAGGCAACAAGCTGGAGCTTCTAGTTCCCCTGGTGGATGGCTTCCTTAAGGAGATTGGGCTCTCTATTAATGCGAAGCTCGCTCGCTCTAGAATGACCGGTCTTATGGAGCCCATCACTCTCTTTATGCCATTTCAAATCTTTAAACATATCTGGGTTTTAGTATAAGGCTACGGGGGAAGCGCGGACACAACCAAGAATGGTGAGAGAATAACGCTAACTTTCCAAAGGCTCGACACTCCAGAAAAAAAATTTGGTCTCCCGCGAGGTTTCAAGGAGAGAATTTTTTCAAGAAGCGGCACTTCGAGAAAATCCCCGAGGATGGTTGCGTGCTTCAAAGTTATAGCGGCAAGTCAATTGTTATTGTTACACAAACTACGCCGCTTCAAATGGTTTATTCAACAAAACAACAAAGGGTAGTAACCATATTTTGCGTGCAGCGCTATGATCGAGAAGGATTTGCAAAGGACTCAAATTTGCAAAAGCTATTGAATTTGAACACTATCTAGCTTAACAGTTAATTAACAGTAGGACTTGTTAATGTTTTGTGAGACCTTGTCACGAAACTTCATACTACAAAAGAATGACAACCCTGAATGTAATCTGAAACAAAGTTCTGAAGGAAACATGTTTTTAATACAAGCAGATATTTTAAAATTTAATCTTATTATCTTGTAGACTGTAATACATTGGAGTAAATAAATAGAAGTATGGATTACATTAACATAACAGCTGAAAGCTTTTTTATTTGACTAACAATGATGTCTGATTCATTTATGAAATTATCCTATCAGTATACAGAATTACTCCTTTTAGATACAAATTTCATTTATCTGTGTATACTTCATCTTACTCTTAAAACTATCAAGCTGCAAATTCTTGTACCTTTTATTTAAGACAAACCATTACTAAAACAAATGTATTGTGTCAACATAAGCAAAATGCTGGGTCACTAGTTATTGACCCTTTGACCCCTTACAATGTCTAGCATCAAATTTCTTCTTACAATATTAACCCAAAATTGAACATAAGGTCACAAGAACGAGGGAAATAATTATTAACTAATGAAGCTCTTGATTTTTAAGCAAATTCTCCTTGTCAACACCTCGTAAAATATATTGAGAACAGTATAGAGAATATTCATGCTGTTGTTAGCATGTAAAGGGTTAAGTGGTCAAACCTTAAGTACAAAATTCCATAAATTCATTATAGCAGAAACCCTGCCTCTAAAATGCAAGTCAGTAAAAAAAATAATGGGTTTATAAAGTTTTATATGTAATATATCAGTGCATACTAAATGATATCAGTGACAACAGTACTTTTGCTTTTGGACAGGTTTAACCTCTGACAAACATAGCTAATTTTAAAAAAATTTTGCACCAATTTGAATATATTTTTCTTATGAAGTAGGTATATTACTCACATTACTGGTACACAGAATTTGTTGAGAGCCTAGTTATCATTCTCATAACAAGTATGCCTTATTGTGCACCAACTTGACCAAGAAAAATAACTATCAAATCAAATATTTTGGGAGATTTAAACTGTTGATTAAAAAATAATTCAACAACCCCTCCCCAGCCGATGCACCTTCAAGGCGTTTAACTAGAATTTCCTTAGTACCTGCAGTGCTTAATCCTCTACTGCGTAAAGCTTCCTTTAAACTAGGTACTGTCGTCAAAGTTGGCTTGATAGCTACACTTCTTACATCAGTGGCATTGCAGAACTTTAAATGAGACGACAATGATAGGTTATTAGCAAAGCAAGTATTGCACTGTTTACAGACAACAGGTTTTAGAGCACTGATTCTGTCAGACCTCTGCTGCTTGCACAAGTCCCTAGGTCAATACTAGACAAACAAACTTGACAACTGAGCAAATCGTTTTCTTTATTTCTACCACAATTACAAACATTTGATTGGTAACAGTGTGGTGGAGAACGTGATTGGTAGTGTGAGGTATAAGAAGAGGGCATTGGTTGATGTTCTGGGAGGTAAAATGAGCGAACATAATTACTTCACATTACTTGCCACCCTTAACCAGTGGCAGTACTTACATTTGACCGGTTAGTTAAGGTCAAATCTTCCTTCACTCCAGAATGTTTGACCTCTTTAGCCTGCAAAGAGACAATCCCATAGCCCACCCTATACCTTGTAAACAGCAAATTTGCATGATAGGGAATGGCATATCCAATTGTCCATGTTGTGACATTAACACTGGATGAAAAAAACAAAGACATCAGGTTAAAATACATACTACACATTTCTTTCAGTTCTACAACCTGAGCAGAATTAGAGAGTTTTTCTCTTCTACGAAAAAATTTTTCAATATGCGATGTAAAGATTCATCCAAGCGGTGACCATTTGCTACCTTAACTTTTCATTTAGTTATCGTGAAACTCGGTGGAAGGTTAATTCTTACGTGAAATTGAAAGACGATTATTTAAATATTGGCATTAATATTTGCATTACTGGTTATATAAAGTTTAAAAAAAGTCTATGACCTAACAGGAATTTTCGAGCACAAGGAATTTCAGTTTCGAGCTTGCGTTTTGCCGTTTCTGAGGTTCTCTTCTATGTTTAAGGCCTTTTTAAAATGCGAACATTTTTCAGCCTGGCCATCAGGATTTCGGCTTTTGCGACCGACGACATTTCGATAACTAGGCATAACCGCCGTCTCACATGAATAGATCTCAAAATTTTACCAAAATTTGGAGATCAACACTCCATCTACTTAGGTTTTCTAAGGTGGCTTAATTGAAGCGTACTAAAGAATCTTTAAAAATTTCCTTCGTTATATTTAGTAAGCCGTTGCGGTGTGTGCAAAGAAAGCCCTTGACGGCGGAAGTATTAAACTTTACTAAGCGCCCAGGAGAAAAAGTACTTACCAATTATCACCGCAAATCGTTATTCAAAGACAATGTACGTTGACATCAAATATATAAAGACGAGTATTGCCTTTTTTATGGTTCGTTCTCCTTTTACAAGAATTTAGGCTGTTGTCTCTATTGTTGTCGCTGACCGATTTTTCCACGAAAGGAAAATGATTCTCGCAGCGAAGAAAATATCAGTAAGCGCATGAGTGTTCAGTTAGCCAATTTAAAAATATTAAAATTAAAACTTGGCTCCGAGGCTTGGGGGAATAAAACAAAAGAAATCATATCGAGGTTGAGGGATGAATGATATATTTCTCCCCCCCCTCCCCCCCCAGCCTCGGAGCCATGTTAGAATTTTAATACATTGAAAGGAGGTTAGAAATGACCTTTCAGTGTCACGCAATGCTGACAAATGTTTATTGCCAGCTTTCACTGAGAGTCTCTTCTGCTTCTTCCCATTCATTCGACTGTATCTCACTCAAAGCTGTTACAAATCATAGTCGTTTCAAGCAGCAGAAAAGGGAATGATACCTGGTAGAGTGGGTACACGGTATTTAACTATACTTTGATGTTA